GGTAGTTTGAGTTCCTAATTCGTATGAAACTACAGACTTAGTATTTTGACATCACAAACATCTAATATGAACCAGTGCTGCATTCAACATACCATGTAACACACAGAAATTTATGTTTAACTGTATTTTTTTAATATTTACTTTTAAATGAAGAAACTGAGTAAGGATATAATATTAAAATTTCATTTATAATCTACATACATATCAAATTTATTGACATAAATTCATGAAATAGTAGTTCAATAAAATTTTGAATGCGAGTCAATAAACACGATGACATGGCCTTTCTCCCATGATCTGTATGGAAAGGGTTAAGTCAGCTGCAGTTCTTTTATTTGGCTACAACAGGGAGCTCTCTTATGTAGCTATATGAGTATTTACTACAGAATCAAGTACTTGTGTATGCATTTTTAACTTTTATTTGAAGTATAAAATATTACTACTGTTCTATATAACATATTTTTAAGGATGTGAATGTTTTATTTCATTTATATGGATTACTTGTAAAATAAAAGTTTTAAATCTAATATAAACTGGTAGTTATGATGTCATCATCAGTAAATTATGCAAGTTAGTGCTACTGAAGGTTCAAACTGTTGTTTAGTAATATGTTCCAAACCTTTCAAAGTCAAAATCTACCCACTTCTAGCATGGAATCTATAAGATAATTTAAAAATTTTTTGTTTAGGCCAAGAAAATAACCAATGCCTCAACTGTCATCATTGCAAGAGAAAAATAGCGTTCTTACATGATCTACAATAGATTGTGCAAGGGATCACTATACTGTTGCTTATTTATTCATAACTACCCATGTCCCATGACGCTTGGTAGGATAGTGTACAATGTGTCATAACGTAGGGTGTCATGTAGTCTCCATACCAACTCAGATCAGAAAGATTGTCTCTATACTCACTTAATCCAATCACTTTCTAATGAACTGGGATATTTTAATCACATAATTCCTTAGACAATGGAGAGGGATTTGCCCCTTTGTTACAGTCATGTAAATCCAACAGTTGATTGTATAAAGTCTGAGTCTTGATGTGATCCCACACTTTTCTATTTTTCTTTATATTGTTTCACCACTTGTAGTCTTATAAAGAACACTTTCATGATCTGATAGTCTTTAAACATTTGGGAGTGTGAATCTGCTTTCTACTTAGTGCTTGAACTTTTTTTTTTAACTAGCTGCTAGACATTTATGATATCATGGCATTTTTTTGCCTCTCTCTAGTTTTAGATGGGCTTCAGCTAGGACAAACTTTCTCTGGACTATTCCAACATTGGGTTGTTTCAAGAGTCTACAGCCAAGCTACAGCATTCGAGACTGGTATGGGTACTTGTGGGTCAGCCTTAAAGAAACTTTGGTTGTGGTAGATATCTAACTATCTATTGATGATGTTTGCAAGCAGTTTGGTTCATATGTTAGGTATTAAGGTAGGAGAGAAAAAAACATCAACAGCCAGTACAGAAATCTTTGAAATAATGATGAGAAACAAAAGCTCTATACATGCAGAATTGGCTGCAGAATCATATAAAAACCCCAAGAAACAACAAGGAAAAGCTTTTCAATCTCCTAATTGATCTTTTTTTTTGAAGAAAAACACTGGATGTGGTATGATGGGGATAACTCGCATGGTAAGGCTTCCATTTCTTCCCTCTGTGATGCCCTATGCTATATTGATGGATATAATTTAACCTTGGAAGCATGATCAAGCTTTATTTCTCAAATTCAAGGGTACCATGTCCCAGAATGAAGCAAGCACAGGAAGCGTCAAGGGAGTAATTTGTGTTACGATTCTCTGATGAAACATTTAACTTTGAGACAGTCTTTTCACTAGTTGGATGTAGCTTTCTAAACCGAGTGAATTTCGTGAATCTTTCTCTAGGCTTGCTACAGTGAACACACTGGTGAAAGTTTGGAGTCTGATTTTAGAAATATTCATTTTCTACAAACAATTACAGTAGTGGGCAGCCAACTTCAAACACTTGAAAGTGCAGTGAAGGAGGTGCCATGCTTTGAAAAGATATCAGTCAATGATTGCTGTGCAACTGACCCTAAGAAAAATTACAAAACCTGTTCAAAAGTTGTTTAAAGGTTTAACTGTTCCTACAGTTTTGTATACAGAGAGCTTGCAATCAAACCTTGGAAACTACCATTTCTTGAGGAGAATTCCACATGTTGTGACCCTTGAAGCTGCTATGAATGAAAACGTTAAGATCAATCATCCATTCATGTGCTCTTAGAAAAGCATTTATGGACAGGTTTGGATGTATAGCAAAGGGACTAAAGTATCATGTTCTCATGCCAATATATTGTGAACTGACAGGTTAATTTTTTTGTGTTTGTTGGTTTGTTATTTTACAAGAGTGTACCACATATGCCAAGCACACACACAAAAGAAAAAGTAATAATATGTTATTGCACTCATGCATGAATCACTAGAAATGGTTTAGCTGTGTGTACAAGAAAAAGGCAGCTAATAAAGCTATAGGAGTTAATCTTCTGCTATACCATAAAGGCTATGGGAAGGTTTTGAAGCTGTTTTCAAAGAAGAACTTCTCTTTGATTTTTAAAATTAAATTAGATTACATTAGGTTACATCATTTTTTTTTTACTTCAAAAATTAGGTTCTTAATTTATTGACCAGGTTCATCATTTACTTAATTAACATCAAAGTCACAAATTATCATTTTAAGCAATAATATGTTCATGCAATATTATCATCTGGAATTCTGGGTATAATTTATGTTATATGGCATGCTTATTAGTGGTTAGATGACATCCTGGACAACCAGTACATTATAGAAATCATATGATTACTTATGCAAGCAACAAGTTATGATGGTGATGATTTCATCAATGTATGGAAGACCTCTATACATACAGCTGAAAATGTGTACTGGTATCTGATTTAATTCTAACTGATAAATTTAATATACTCTATTGGTGATGCTAGCAAGAATCCACCTGGACAATCATGTATCACACGATTTCTTGATTGGTAGATGCATAAGACAAGGAGACCCTATATCACCTAAGCTATTTACAGCAACATTACAGGAAGTTTTTAAATGATCAAGGCTAGAGGAACATAGCATCAATATAGATGGAGAAGAACTAACAGACCTGAGATTTGCAGATGATGTGGCATTATTTACAGAGAACAACCAACAGATGGATCATCAAGTCCTGATGCTGAATGAAAAAAGTGCAAAGATTGGCCTTAAAATACATAAGTGGAAATCAAAGTATATGACAAACGTAGATGACAACCATGAAATCAAATTAGAAAATGAAATTATTGAAGGAATGAACAATTACAAATACCTCAGACAAACAACCTACATGAAAAATACAACAAAAGAAGAAATAAGTATGAGAATAAGAACTGGCTGGAGCTGCTTTGGGAAGTACCAAGAGGTCTTTCAAGATGAAAAACTACCAATAACCCTTAAAAACAAGTATTCGACCAATGTGTTTTACCAACCTTGGCATATGGATGTCAGACTTGGACACTCACTAAATAGCTTAACTCAACATTGCAGATAACACAAAGAGCAATGGAAAGAAAGATGTTAGAGATCAAGCTCCAGGATCAAATTCTGTGTTCAAAGATCAGAAGAACTATTTCATATTCAACATGGAAATAGGAAGGACACATTGCTTAATTAAAAGACAACAGACGGAAGAAAAGAATCACAGAACAGCAGCCATGCAGAAGGAAGAAATCAAGAGATTGACCATATAGAAGATGGCATGATGACATCATAGAGAGAGAGGGTGTCACATGGCCGAGGAAAGCAGCAGATAGACAAACTTGAATATCTTTGGCTAAGGGCTATGCCTTGCATTGGATGGACACAGCCTAGAATATAAACTGTAAAATCCAAAGCTGATGCAGTGTAATATAACTTTTCTATTGGTTTGAAGCAACTGCGATCTCAAACATAAACACAAGAAAAGCCTCCAAAAGTCACTATAACCAAACTCACTGCACAGAAGGTTTTGATGTACCTTCTTTCATGCACTGCAGTGCACTCAGCAAGGTAAACTTCACAATAATGCCAAAAATACCTGATAATTATCACTTACATTTGTATTCAAATGCTGAAGAACCACTAGGATATCAGGGTCTTCTATCCATAATGCTTCCTCCACATGTGCATCAATTTTGGACTTTACAGTTGTCATACTAGCACTAGCATCACCTATTTCATTCTAGGATGTGTCCATCCACTGCAAGGCATAGCCCTTTGCCAAAGACGTTCAAGTCTGTCTATCTGCTGCTTTCCTCTGCGCAGATGAAAATATGGAGGAGGATGAAGATAATGAATTTTAACCTATACATTCTTCCTGTTTGTCTACAAAAGACAAAATCAGGAATAGATGTACTTTGATGTTGTTTTTAACACTTGTGTATACAAATTTTTTTTACATACACTGCAACATGCTTTTAATAATATTGTTTGAAGAATTAAAAGAGCAACTCAAACGAATAATGACCTCTCTCTGTCCTTCACCAAAAATGAAGAAATGGATGAGGAGAAACAAGGAATCATACTTGCCTGGCCTTATCTGACTTTTTAAGTCTAAGAAGTTATCTTTGCATACAATAATATCAATGGGTAATCACAAATTAAATAATATATTTAGTATATTATTAGTCTAGCTTGCAAAGAACTTGATGTCAATAAATATGAAAAAACAACAACAACATATGTTTCACTTTTTTATCCAACAACCCATTTACAAACAATAATGACAGCTTTGTAATGGCAGGGTCATCAATACAGGATACTGAGGTAACTGAAATTATTATTAAATGATAATAAATAACTTGTGTTATTTTACCTTTGCCACTATTCCACTTTTTTATTCACATAAAATTAATACAAATTGTATTACTAGCTTATTTTGAAATATTTTTACTTCTAAGAAAAAATAGAAGACCATTATTATATCCGATTTACTTGAGCAAATCCACAAGCATATTTCAAAGCTTTATAAAATCACACATCAGATAAGTAGTTGGTTAAACAATATGTGGTTTCAAGTTAATTAAGGTTAAAGTATATTAAAAATTGCTTTATGAACTGCATGTTTAATAAATTGTTTTACTGCAACCATACAATGAAACACTGAATTGTCTACTAGGCAGAAAACTTAATGGTACAACTAATATTATGAAATAGCATGTAATAACTAACCTAAAAACTGACTCATATAACATTATATATGAAACATAGCAACATAACACTAAGAAAAGTGGATTCATGCCTCCTCTTAAAAAATTTGGTTCTAAAATTAGGCTTGCAGTTGGAGGTTCAGTCAAGGTGAGAAAACAGACTGCTAGTAAACCTCACACTGACACTAATGTGACCATATGGGATGACTTGGATCTCTGGTAATGTTCTTGTACTGCACACGTTGTTACCATACACAGCAACCACAATAGAGAATATTTCAAGTTTTCAGAATCTTTTAACAATTTTCCAGGACTTTACAGAAAATTTTTTGATAGGATTTTATTTCCAGGACTTTCCATGAAGCACAAGAACCCTGTTGGAAGTAAAGCTTACAGAATTTTAAGGAGCATTTATAGTCACAAAGATTTAAAGTCAAAAGAGATAATTATATCTCTGAGTCTACACAAGTCACTAGTTAGGTTTCCTTCAGAATATTATATACAATTTTGGTTTCCTTATCTAAAAACAGATATTGACTTATTATAAATGGTTCACAGAAGAGCTACTAGGATGACCCCAAAGATGGAAGTATTATCTTATGGAAATAAGTTAAAATCTCTTCTCACAAAAGAGATGATTTTTTTTAAGTTTACAAGACTTTCCATAGAAGACAACATGAGAGGACAAACATTTAAGATTTGAGAACAACAAGCTAAGCTCCAGTGAAGTCTTATTTTTCTAATAGCAAGCTTGTCTTATGGAATTAGTTGCCATCAGTAGCAGTAATCACTTTACATGAATTTAAATATAGGGAATCAATAACTCTGTGAAAAATGGAAAGCAGGTTTTAATTGTTCTCAAGGATAGGCTAGTAGGAACAACCTTAAAGTGTCAATTGTGTTTAACAACAAATTTAAAATGACATCTCCACTGGTTGGCTGACCATTTGGTATACAAAACCATGGTGAATCATTTCAAAGAAACAGAAAGCTCTCCATCCCTCACTACTAAACACCATGAAGTGTCTAAATTTAATCTCCCATAATTATTGCATCGATATTTTTATCATTGCAACTGATCTCATTATACAATTTTTCATTTAACCTTCTGTCTGATCAAGTAACTTATAACAACTGCCAGATATACTTAAATTCCTTAAAATACATAGATATGAAATTTCTAAATTCCCATTATAATGTTCTCAAAGTCTAACAGGTTTTAGTAATTCACACTATATCATAGTCTTCCAACTAGAACCCTGAACTCATCTATTTTGTTCCCTATACATTTTAGATTATAATAATAGCAATTAAGTTTATTCTTAATCCTACTGCATTTATCCTTAAATCTGACACTTATCTCTAAACCTATTACTTAGCTTATATGCTCTGAATATACTTCTATAACCCTTTCCAGACAGGTCATGGGTGAAAGGCCACGTCATCTCATTTGTTGACTCACAACTAAAAGAACTGCAGCTGACTTAACCCTTTCCATACAGGTCATGGGAGAAAGGCCATGTCATTGTGTTTATTGACTCGCATTCAAAATTTTAGTATTATACATTACTCAATTCCTTCATTTAAAAGTAAATATTAAAAAATACAGTTAAACATAAATTTTTGTGTATCACATGGTACGTTGAATGCAGCACTGGTTCAAATTAGATGTTTGTGATGTCAAAATACTAAGTCTATAGTTTTGTACGAATTAGAAACTCAAACAATTAATATTTACACGCTAGAATATAAAGTAAGAACCTCTTATCTTTTCAATTTGCTAAGATATTGCTTAGGTAATAAATCAAACACAGTGGCACCCCAACCACCTCTTTCCATTTTTGGAAATGCTCCCTTGTATACACTTACTTCTATATATGACATGAATAACCAATTGAAAGCTCAAAATGTCTCCCTAGTGGTTTTTCTCAACCATTTTAATGTGTATGGACACCATCTCTTTCTTTCAAACAAAGATTTCAAGGAGGTAGGTTGTGTCTTTAGCCTGCTCGAAGTTTCATATTTTTTTGGACTAAAGTACAGCTTAGTTGCTACGCTTGATAAATTATAGTGGAATTCTACGGTATCGATATAGTAATTTATGATTTTTTGGTTATTCAACTGTATATATAAAACCTAAAAAAATTATTTCCTTTCACATCCTTCATGCGTGAAATTTTAAAAAGCTCAGCAACCTACATCAAACAGCAACCGAGTATAAAGGTCATAACTAGAAGAGATAACTGTTTGCTTTACTTCTTTATTTACTGTTCTATGTTTTAAGAAAAATAAATTTAAGAACTTATTTCTAAATAGCAATATTTTTATATACATATATAATGTATAATAATTGAAATGTGACTATTTTACAAAATACTGGTCCACTAAAACACAACCAAGACAGGTCACTTTGTAAAAACTAAAGGTCAGTTTTATGTTATTGGATACAATAATATGAGTGCACGTGTGCAGCATCATTGTAACTTCTGTATTGTTAGCCAGGCATGGCTGAAAGGTCAATATAATAAAAATAATAGATATATAAATGTATAATGTTATGAGATTTAAGCTATTTAATCTAAACATTTAGTACCTACAAGTACTAGTTTTATATTTCAATTTTCATTTTCTCTAGGGCTAACTAAATATTAAAAATATTTTCTGCTATGAAGCATCTTCCTACAGTGTTCAATAAGTAAATCAACAATAATTTCATACTTATTACATGAAACCTTTAACTGTATTAATAACAAATGAACAACTTTGCATAAGATATATTAAATATACACATAATTGAAATTACATTTAACTTAAGGAAACATTGTAAAAATAATCTGTAAAAAATTGTGAAAATGTAAAAAGTTTATATTTTGTGACAATGTCTTGCAAAACAAAGAAGGGTGGGTGTCATTTCAAAACACAATTGTTGTGTAAGCAAATGATGTTACTGCATTAGTGTTACTTTGAACTTCTGAGCTACTTTAGATCTTTGACTTGGAGTTGGATTCAAGGAGATTCAGAGTCAGAGCTCTTGATCTAACTGCTAAAATTCGACTACACTACAATTAATGCAAGTACTAGGCCTACATCATACTACAGTTTTATAATTTTAGACCCAATAGCTTTTTTGTACTAGAGTAATATAGCCACAAACCAACTTAACATCAACACTGCTGCGTAACGATGCAAGTACTGAAGTAGCTCATTACGACACAAAGTGACAAGTAACAATTACATTAAGCCTAATATTAGTCTTCACAAAAGAAATTCGTAGCTTCCCGATGCAAAAACCATCGTGTCTATTCTAAGCCTAGTGTAAGTAATGTTTAATGGCACTGCTAATGTAGTAATTCAAGTATCCAATTTTAAAACTTATTTCATCGAACAACATATTTATAACATTTAACTGAAAACTAGGCTACAGGTTAATGTCAACAGATTCTCTTTAAAGTTTAAGTCATTATTAGTTACTACTAGCAGTAGTACTATACAATAAGTTGTCACCAGGGTGACTTACGGGTATTACTCCAGTCTCAAGTTCAGATTCACTGTGCAATACAGGAACAGTCCTCCTTTGTTGACGATTCCTAAGATTCCACAATAAGTTGTTTGGCAAAACACTGACACCCGACGTCTGATGCCTTGTTCTCACCATCTCGAAATAACTCTTACACCTCAGGTTAACCTCACCACTCCAGTCTCAGCTGATTGTTCTAAGTGACATAACCTTAACCAAGTCAAAACAGTGCATCAGATATCAACTACACGATTCGCGACCGAGAAACTTTCCACAAAACCGTTTGCTACGCCTCAGTGTTAAAGTAGCCAAATCACAATTTAGCATCCACGTTAATAAATAGGTCCTTTTAATTCATCTCCTGGTTTGTTAGACTTACAATATTTGTTACTAGTAATGTATTAGATAAGATTAAAAAGGTTAACTTATTATAGTAATTATTTTTTTAAATGAAAAGTGCCTATATTCTTACTTAATAATCAGCAAACA